AGGGGGGTGTTGGTTGGACGGGATGGGAGGGTGTATGGGTTGGATTGAGGGTGATGGTTGGATTGTAGGAGGGATGTATGGTTGAAGGCAGGGAGGTGTGTATGGATGGATGGAGGGGAGGGTGTATTGGTTGGATGGAGGGAGGGTGTATGGTTGGATGGAGGGAGGTGTGTATGGTTGGAGGGAGGGAGGGTGTATGGTGAAGGGAGGAGGGTGTTATGGTTGGAGGGAGGGGAGGGTGTATGGTTGGATGAGGAGGGTGTATGGTTGGATGGAGGGAGGGTGTATGGTTGGATGAGGGAGGGTGTATGGTGGATGGACGGGAGGAGTGTATGGTTGGATGGAGGGAGGGTGTATGTTGGATGGAGGGAGGGAGTATGGTTGGATTGAGGGAGGGGTATGGTGGATGGAGGGAGGGTGTATGGTTGGATTGAGGGAGGGTGTATGGTTGGATGGAGGGAGGGTGTAATATGGTTGGTGGAGCGGAGGCTGTATGGTTGGGAGGGAGGGAGGGTGTTGGTTGAAGGAGGGAGCGGTGTATGGATTGATTGAGGAGGGGTATGGTTGGATTGAGGCAGGGTGTATGGTTGGATGGAGGGGAGGGTGTATGGTTGGAGGAGGGAGTGTATGGTTGGGATGGAGGAGGGTGTATGTTGGATGGAGGGTGGGTGTTATGTTTGGGATGGAAGGGAGGGTGTAAGGTTGGATGGAGGGAGGGTGTATGGCTGGATGGAGGGAGGGTGTATGGTTGGATGAGGGAGGTGTATGGTTGGATGGAGGGAGGGTGTATGGTTGGATGGAGGAGGGTGTATGGTTGGATGGAGGTGTATGGTTGGATGGAGGGCGGGTGTATGTTGATGGAGGGAGGGTGTATGGATGGATGGAGGAGGGGTGTATGGTTGGAGGGTGGGAGGTTGATTAGATTTTGGGATGGAGGCGAGGGAGGGTGTATGGCTGGAGGGAGGGAGGGTGTTTGGTTGGAGGGAGCGGAGTGTGGGAGTATTGTTGAAGGGAGGGAGGGCCTATGGTTGGATGGAGGGAGGTGTATGGTTGGAGGGGAGGGAGGGTGGTATGGCTTGGAGGGAGGGAGGGTTGTATGGTTTGGAGGGAGGGAGTGTTGTATCGGTTGAGGGAGGAGGTGTATGGTTGGTGGGAGGAGGGGTTTATATTGGAAGGGAGGGAGGCGTGGGTGTATGGTTGGAGGGAGGGAGTGTGTATGGTTGGAGGGGGGGAGGGTGATGGTTGGAGGGAGGGGAGGGAGGGTGTATGGAATGGAGGGGGGAGGGTGTCATGGGGTTATTGGAGGTGCGAGGGGGGGTGGGTGTATGTTGAAGGGAGGGAGGGTGTATGGAAGGAGGGAGGAGGGTGTATGGTTGAGGGAGGGAGGGTTGTATGGTTGGAGGGAGGGGGATGTATGGTTGGATGGACGGGAGGGAGGGGGTGTATGTTGGATGGATGGGAGAGTAGTATGGTATTGGGATGGGGCAGGAGAGTGTATGGTTGGAGGAGGGAGGGGGTATGGTTGGAGGAGAGGAGGGTGTATGGTAGGAGGGAGGAGGGTGTCATGGTTGGATGGAGGGAGTTGTATGGTTGGAGGGAGGGAGGGTGTATGGTTGGAGGGAGGGACGGAGGGTGTATGGTTGGAGGGAGGGAGTGTGTATGGTTGGAGGGAGAGACTGAGGGTGTATTGGTTGGCATGGAGGGAGAGTGTATGGTTGGAGGGAGGGAGGGTGTATGGTTTGGAGGGAGGGAGGGTGTTATGGTGGTGGAGGGAGGGTGTATGGTTGGAGGGAAGGAGGTGTATGGTTGGAAGGGAGGGAGGGTGTTGTTGGGTGGAGTGGAGGGTGGTATGGTTGGAGGGGAGGGTGTATGGTTGGATGGAAGGAGGGTGTATGGTTGGAGGGAGGGAGGGTGTATGGTTGGAGGGAGGGAGTATGGTTGGAGGGAGGGAAGGAGGGTGTATGGTTTAGGTGGAGGGAAGGAGGGTGTATGGTGGTGGGAGGGAGGGTGTATGGTTGGCGGGAGGAGGAGAGGAGGGTGAATGGTTGGATGGAGGGAGGAGAGAGAGTGTATGGTTGGAGGGGAGGGTGGTTGTATGGTTGGAGGGAGGGAGGGTATGTCTGGTTGGGGGAGGGGAGGGTGTAGGGTTGGAGGGAGGGTGGGAGGGGAGGGTGTCTGGTTGCGATGTGAGGGAGAGTGTATGGTGGATGGGAAGGAGGTGTATATTGGAGGGAGGGAGGGTGTATGGTTGGATTGGAGGGAGGATGTATGGTTGGAGGAGGGTGTATGGTTGGGGATGGGGGAGGTGTATGGTTGGAGGGAGGGGAGAGTGTATGGTTGGAGGGAGGGGAGGGTGTATGGTTGCGAGGGAGGGTGGGAGGGTGGGTGTATGGTGGAGGGGGGGGGTGTATGGTTGGAGGGGAGGGAGGGTGTATGGTTGGACTGAGGGGGTTGTTATGTTCTGGATGGAATGGAGGGAGGCGAGGGTGTTATGGTTGGATGGAGGGAGAGAGAAGGCTGGAGGGAGGGAGGGTGTATGGTTGGAGGGAGGGAGGGTGTATGGTTGGAGGGAGGGGGGTGTTATGGTTGGGGGAGGGAGGGTGTATGGTTGGCGGGAGGAGGGTGTATTATGGTTGGAGGGAGGGAGGGAGGGGTATGTTGGATGGAGGGAGGGTGTATGGTTGGATGGAGGGGAGGAAGGGTGTATGGTTTGGTGGAGGAGGGAGGGATGTATGGTTGGATGGAGGGGGTGTATGGTTGGATGGAGGGAGGGTTGTATGGTTGGATGGAGGGAGGGTGTATGGTGGGAGGGAGGTAGGGTGTATGGTAGGAGGAGAGGGAGGGTGTATGGTTGGAGGGAAGGAGGGTGTATGGTTGGAGGGAGGGAGGGTGCTATTTGGTTGGTTGAGGGTGGGTGTATGGTTGGGATTAGGAGGGTGTATGGTTGGATGAGGGAGGGTGTATGGTTGGATGGAGAGGAGGGTGTATGGTTGGATGGATGGGAGGGTGTATGGTTGGATGGTGGGAGGGTGTATGGTTGGATGGAGGGAGAGTGTTGGTTGGAGGGAGGGAGGGTGTATGGTTGAAAGGGAGGGAGGGTGTATGGTTGGATTTGATGGAGGGCTGTATGCTGGATGGAGGCGCAGGGTTGTATGGTGGGATGGAGGGAGGGTGTTATGGGTTGGATTGAGGGAGGGGTGTATGGCCTGGCTTGGATGGAGGGAGGGGTGAATGGTTGGATGGTGGGAGGGTGTATGGTGGATTGAGGGAGGTTGTATGGTTGGATGGAGGGAGGGTGTATTGGGTTGGATTGAGGGTGGGTGTATGGTGGATGGAGGGAGTGGGTTATGGTTGGATGGAGGGAGGGTGTATGGTTGGTGGGGGAGGTTATGGTTGGAGGGTGGGAGGGTGTATGGTTGAAGGAGGGAGGGTGTATGGTTTGGATTGAGGGAGGGTTGTATGGTTGGCATTGAGGGAGGGTCTGTGTATGGTTGGTTGAGAGGGAGGGTGTGTGGTTGGATGGAGGGAGGGTGTAGGTTGGATGGAGGGAGGTGATATGGTTGGATGAGGGAGGGTGTATGGTTGGATGGAGGGAGGGTGGTATGGTTGGATGGAGGGAGGGTGTATGGTTGGATGGAGGGAGGGTGTATGGCTGGATGGGAGGGAGGTGTGTATGTTGGATGGAGGGGTGTGTGGTTGGATTGGACGGGAGGGGTTGTATGGTTGGAAGGTAGGGAGGGTGTATGGTTGGATGGAAGGGAGGGTGCCTATGGTTGGATGGGAGGGAGGGTGTATGGTTGCTGGAGGGAGGTGTATGGTTGGATGGAGGGTGAGGGTGTATCGGTTGGATGGAGGGAGGGTGTATGAGTTGGATGGAGGGAGGGTGTATGTTGGATGGAGGGAGGGGGTATGGTTGGATGGAGGGAGGGTGTATGGTTGGATGGAGGGAGGGTGTAAAGGAGACTTGAGTTTTAGGAACTTAAACATCCACTTCACTTGTGTGAGAATGTTAGATACGAGTGAATGTAGACGAACTTTTAAATGGATGTGTTTGTGAGCAAGGTAACATTTATGAAGGGAATCGGGGAAATTGCTTATTGTAATTCTGAAGACAGGTAATCTCTGCAAAGAAACAAAAATCAGGTACAATACTTACCTTGGATAGGAAATAGGAAATATGGAAGAAGTGGATGTAATGAGATATTTGAGAGTGGACATGTCAGCAGATGGGTCTGTGAAAGATGAAGTGAACCATAGATGAGGGGAAAAAACATGAATGGTGTGGTGAGGCATCTGTGGAAAGAAAGAAGTTAATCTAGGGAGGCAGAAATGGGGTAATGTACCAGAGTGGAATGTTGTAGTTGGAGAGTATTTTGAATTATGATGCCAGCACTTCTGGCAAGACATTGATTGAATGTATTATGGTGACTGTGCTACCTTCTGTGGGTCACCCTGCCTTGTGCACCCACTCTGACACCTTTCTTGTACCAGCATACATTACCTTCCTGTCAGATATTACCTGATCCACTGCAGTACTTTCCCTGCTATTCCTGCCTGCTCCTCTAGCTTTTCAACCAGTCTCTTGTGTGGTACTGTGTTGAAAGCCTTAGCAGGAGACAGCCATTGAGGTAAAAAATAACTGCTATAACTGTGCGATTTTGCTCATATGCATTACTGCTTCTAATTCTGCCCCGTGGCCTGGTGGCAAAAGCTCTTGCTTCGCACGGTGAGGGCTCGGGTTTGATTCTTGGCGAAGAAGTGGAAACATTGGGCGTGTTTCCTTACACCGGTTGTTTATGTTCACCCATCAGTAAAATGGGTAACTAGGTGTTAGTGGACTGGTATGGGTCGCATCCTGGGACAAAACTGACCTAATTTGCGGGAAATGCTCTGCAAAACAAGCAGCTTTCTATATAATAGTATGTCATTGATGTCAACTATGGTCTGTATACCTTGCACATATATGTACTTGTAGTAAATAAGAATATTATTATTATTAGGGACTCATTCACACCACTGTTGGTGGCAGCCAGTGGCGGCCATGCATCAGCTGTACAGACATTGTTGAACCATGGTGCTGATGTGGAGGCGGTGGATAAGGATGATAAAACAGCTGTGTACTGGTGTGCTAGCCAGGGCAATGAAGAAGCTTTAGAGGTATGTTTACTGCACAATACACAACCCACACTTAGGAGAAACTCAGGACGATGTTTCGGTCTGAGTTGGAGCATTAATTAGTTACACACTAACGCTCAAGAGGTTGGATCAGAGACGGTCCTGCTCAGGATGCCCATCCCATGCAGGTCCATCTCAAATCCAGCCTTCAATATTTTAGTGATAATTACTGTCCTATTCCCCCCCAAAACATGTCATAAAGTATCTTTCTTGTGTGTGTGCATTATTCCACTCACAGTATTGTGCCTTTTAATTCCATGTGTTTACTTCACATCCACTATACAGTGGACCCTCGGTTATTGGCCGTAATCTGTTCCAGGAGGTTGGCCTAAAACCAAAATATTTTCCATAAGAATTAATGTAATACAATTAATCCATTCCAGACACCCAAAAATATTAATAAAAAACATTTTTTTAAAGATTAATTATAGTTTTACATACACAAAACAATGAGAAGTAAATAAAATACATAAACATTTAAATCACTATTGCATACCATTATTGAAGACTCTTATTGGCTTATGGAAGACAGGGAGGAGGAGAGGAGAGGGAGGATTGATTATTGTTTGGAAGCAGAATCCTCCTCCATAAGGACTTTAGGTATCTAAGCCCTCTCTGGGGTTACTCCCCTCCCTGCCTGCTACACTCCTTGTTTCTCTTCCACAGCATATGTGTAAAGAACCTAGGATGACCCAAAAAAGTCAGGCAGAGTGGCTTATTTACATTGTGGTCCTGCCTCCCTGCTACACTCCCTGCCTCACTGCTACACTCCCTGCCTCACTGCTACACTCCCTGCCTCCCTGCTACACTCCCTGCCTCACTGCTACACTCCCTGCCTCCCTGCTACACTCCCTGCTCACTGCTAAACTCCCTGCCTCCTGCTACACTCCCTGCCTCCCTGCTAAACTCCCTGCCTCACTGCTAAACTCCCTGCCTCCTGCTACACTCCCTGCCTCCCTGCTACATCCTGCCTCACTGCTTTATACTCCCTGCTCCTGCTACCCTTCCCTGCCTCCCTGCTTAACTCCCGGGCCTCCTGCTAAACTCCCTGCCTCCTGCTACACTCCCTGCCTCCCTGCTACACTCCCTTTTGCAACATTAGCTTCCTTGATTTCTACTTTCCCTTAGACAGAATGGAAGTGATTTTTTATTTGGATTTCCCATACATCCTGGCAAGTTCTAGCACTCGGACACCACTCTCATACTTTTCAACTTCTTTCTTAAATTCCATCGTGTTTCTCACTTTCTTTACCAAAGGAACTTTACTTGAACTTTCTGTGGGGGCCAAGGTTGCTTATATTCACAGTTGCACTTAATCAAATAACCACAAAAAACAATGGATTATAGCGAAATGTTTGGATGAATGAGCAGAAGCTTCCTCACTCACCCAGAGAGACAGCCAGACTGACTTGCAAACGCGTGGGCTGCTGGCGGGTGGGTGGGTGGACATGTCCAATAAGATCGATAAGCGAAATAACAGCCAGTAACCAGAATTAAAATTTCGTGTTCAAAAATCCTGAAGGCCAATAACCAAGTTGGCCGATATCTGGAACAGCTGATAACCAAGGGTCCTCTGTATTTTTTTACAGACAGTTTATTTTAAAACTTGCTAAATGCCTTTTGAAGAACTGAAAAATTGTTATACATATATGCCTAGTCTCTTAAGCATTAGGTTTATTCTGCCCAAAATGCCCCGGCATGATAGTGGCTTTCTTTGTACAGTGGACCCCCGCATACCGTTGGCCTTACATAACGTTAAATCCGCATACCGATACGTTTTATCGCTAAGATTTTGCCTCGCATACCGCTAAAAAACCCGCTCAATGCTGTTCGTCCGAGACGCGTCTAATGTGCGGCCTTAGCCAGCCTCACATGTTCCGCCAGTGGCATTGTTTACCAGCCAGCCTCCGCGGTAACATCCAAGCATACAGTCGGAACATTTCATATTATTACAGTGTTTTTGGGTACTATGATTTTATCTGCAAAATAAGTGGACCATGGCCCCAAGAAGCTTCTAGTGCAACCTACAAGGATAAAGGTGATGAGAATTACTATAGAGATGAAAGAAAGAGATCATTGATAAGTTATGAAAGGGGAGTGCGTGTCTCCGAGCTGGCCACGTTGTATAATAAACCCCAGTCAACCATCGCTACTATTGTGGGCAACAAAGGCAATAAGAAGCTGTTCTTGCCAAAGGTTCAACTGTGTTTTTCGAAAACAGAGATCGCAATGTGATGGAAGATGATGAGAGACTATTATTGGTGTGGATAATGAAAAAACAGGATAGCAGGAGTAGCATCACTAGTGATCATAGTGAAAAGCTCTAGGAAAAAGTTGCAATGTACGATTTAATTAAAAAAATGCTGAACTAGTGTTGAGGTGAGTGGAATTTTAAGGCCAGCAAAGGTTGGTTTGAGAGATTTAAGAAGCGTAGTGGCATACATAGTGTGATAAGGCATGGTGAAGGCTGCCAGTTCGGACACCAAAAGCAGCTGAAAATATGTGCAGGATTCCAAGGAAAAGTACATAGAAAGGAAGGACTGAAAACCTGAACAAAGTGTTTAATTGTGATGAACAGGCTGTTTTGGAAGAAAAGGCCAACATGCAGGGACCTACATTACTCAGGAGGAAAAGGCACTCCAGACATAGCCTTTGAAAGACAGGCTATACTCATGTTGATGTGTTCCAATGCTACTGGTGATGCAAATGTGAAGCCTTTATTACGTGTAATCACTCAGAAACTCCCAGAGCTGTCCAGACAAAAGAATATCCTTCAAGGCTAATATGTGTGTGCTGTGGAGGGCAATAACAGTAAGGCATGGGTCACTAGGTGACGCTTTTATATGACTGGTTACACCATGCATTTGCCCCCAATGTGAAAGATTACCTAAACTGAAAGAATTAGATTAAGTTGCTCCTGGTGTTAGCCAATGCTCCTGGTCTTCCTACAGACGTGGCAGAGGCGACTTTATGGAGACATGAATTCTTAAGGTGATGTTTTTGCCTCCTATACCACTCCTCTCTGCAGCCCATGGACCAGGCAGGTTATTGCAAACTTCAAAAAAACTGTACACAAAGCTCCTGTTTGAAAGGTGACTTAGTAGTGACCTCAGAACCTCAACGGACTCTTTGAGAGTTTTTGGAGAGATCACTTTAATATCCTCAATTGTGTAACCTTATAGGTAAGGCTTGGAGGGAGTGACTAAGAAGGACTTGACTCTGCTTGGAAGAAAACTGGGCCCAGAATGTTTGATAAAAATTCAAAATAGAAAGCAAGAGTATTATCAGAGGAGGACCTGGAGACGTGACTGCATGAACAAAGAAAATGTTATTTTAGAGCCAGGAATGACTGCAATTGTTCATTTGGACCTTATTTTGAATTGTCATATTTTTAGTTTTCGTGATAATTTGCCAAATTGCAAATTTCTGACCCATTTATAGGTAGTTGAAATCAGTAAATGGGCAGTTTCTTGTACTCATCGATAGAAAAAATGAAGTTCTAAAAGAAATCAGTATTGAGTTTGGGCGACTGGAACAATGGAATTAGCCGAAATAGGGGCTCAAAGCGGAGCGAAAATCGCCGATTTTAAACAGCGCCGAGGTCGCTAACTTCGCGCGAGTATAAATTCCCCGTCAGTTTTCCATCAAAATTCGTTTTTTTTTGGTGTCATTACAATCGGGGAAAAGATTCTCTATCATTTCACCTCCCCAAATAATTTTTTTTTTTTTTTAAATTTTGCGACCCAGTGAGACACCTCACTTCAGGATTGGGGGAGCGACAGTCAAGGTGTTAAACTTTCATAATCTGCACATCCCTGACAAGACAGTGATAGCGTGGAATGAGGTGAAAGTGTTTTGTTTTTGGGTTGGGTCACCCTGTCGTGGTGGGGGACCAGCCAATGTATTTATATATATATATTATCATAGATATATTTAATATTTATATATTTTATAATATATATATCATATATATATATATATATATATATTATATATATATATTATAATATATTTATATATACATACAATACATACATACTACAGACATACATACATACACACCAATAAGCAAGATATTAAAAGTTAAGGACTCATACAATTGTAATATACACATTTCAAACAAACCAGTGTAACTGGTGGGGGGTGTTGATTCCATGGCAAGTGAGTCATAAGACTCCGGACCAGTGCATAAACCACTGGGCCAGTCATTCTGTCATTTATTAAAAAATTACATATGCCTTAGATGATACTGACCAATTATCTACAAATAGTCTGAATTATGAAGTTCAGAACTTTGATTATTGTGATGTGTGAGATTCACCAGTATAGTCCCGGCCCGAGTTTTGTCCATGAGGTGACCCGACTTTCATTATTGGTATTAAACTTTTGCGTGTTCCACTTGTTAATGTGGTTTGGGTTGTGGAAGAAACAGGATGATGAAGAGGGTGTATGGTTGGAGGGAGGGAGGGTGTATGGTTGGAGGGAGAGAGGGTGTATGGTTGGGAAGGGGAGGGAGGGTGTATTGTTGGAGGAGTGAGGTGTATGGTTGGAGGGAGAGTGGGTGTTTGGTTGGATGGAGGGGGGTGTAAGGTTGGAGGGAGGGAGGGTGTTTGGTTGGGAATGGAGGGAGGTTGTTATGGTTGGAGGGAGGGAGGGTGTATGGTTGGAGGGTAGAGAGGGTGTTGGGTTGGATGGAGGGAGGGTGTATGGTTGGAGGAGAGAGGGTGTTTGGTTGGATGGAGGAGGGTGTATGGTTGGAGGAGGGAGGGTGTTTGGTTGGAAAAACACTTTAGGGAAGTCATAAAGGAACGAGAGGTACAGGCCACTATGGACAGATATGTTGTGCGACAGAAGTCCAGTGACTCTGAAGCTGGTCCTAGTGACATTAAAAGAAGAAGGAAGTAACCCCAGAAAAGGACTTGACACCTCAAGTCTTAATGGAAGGGGATTCCCCTTCTAAACATTAAGACTCTCTCCTCCTCCCATCCCATCAATCATCACCAGATCTTCAATAAAGGTAAGTGTCATGTAATTGTGCATGCCTTTTTCAGTTTGTGTGTATTAAAATTAATATTTCATGTGGTAAAAATGTTTTTTTTTCATACTTTGGGGTGTCTTGCACGGATTAATTTGATTTCCATTATTTCTTATGGGGAAAATTCATCCGCATAACGATAATTTCGCATAACAATGAGCTCTCATGAACGGATTAATATCGTTATGCGGGGGTCCACTGTACTTAGCAAATCAAAATTGTAATTACACATTGTAAACTATGCAAAGAAATAAAATCCTTAATCCTTAATTATCATCATTTAACGAATCAATATATTCCAGGTTTTATTGAATAGCGAACACTGTCGAAAATTGGTGGATACAAGCGATAGATACGACAACTCACCATTGCACGCCGCTGCATGCCACGGATACATGAACATCATAAATATGTTGCTAAATGCAGGATCTCTAGTGGACAACAAGAATGAAGACGAGGAAACAGCACTGCACGTGGCGGCAGAGGCTGGACAAGTCAAGTGAGTTTTTTTGAAGATAAAGAATGAAAAAGCTTATTTCCAGGAATTTTTTTAACGCATTAAAAAGCAAGTACAATGTTCCATGGCCTGGAAGGTGATGCTCTCACCTGACACACTGAGTATCCGTGGTTTGATCCCCGGCTGGGTGGAAACATTGGGCGTGTGTCCTTACACCTAGCAAGCAGGTAGATACCTGGGTGTAGTCGCCTTACACCAGCTGTCCCTGTTCACCTAGCAAGTAGGTACCTGGGTGTTAGTGGACTGGTGTGAAAAGAAGAGACAGTCCTCAATGAGGCACTGACTTTATTTGTTAATCCTGGGTGGCTAACACTCTGGGTTAAAAATCCGAACAAAATCTTAAGCTTACCCAAAATGCTCCACATAACCATGAGCTTTCAACATACAATTTTTATTTATTTGCAAAGGTTAAATTGTGTGATTTACATGTTATATAGAGTTGATGAGCACAAAGGAAGCCACTAACATGCCTGAGCATTTTCGGCAGACTAATACTAATGCTTATAGACTACTTAATACTAGACATACATTATAGACTCAAATTTTAATTATTACTAAAGTGTGCTCAAGTATCCCCCATTTCTGTATAAACAATTCATCACATTGAAGTAAACTAATACTGTATTTGTATTTTTTAGGGTAGTGCGTGAACTGGTACACCGCTACAAGTTTCTCCTTTTTGATGAAAATGAGGATTCCAACACTCCATTGCATTTAGCCTGCTTACAAGGCTATGCTGATGTGGTACACATCCTGCTAGAAGCTGGAGCAGCCGTAGATGCCAGGAACTCTTCCCTCTGGACGCCACTTGACTGTGCTTCTGCCAAGGGTCATGTCTTGTGTGTTCACCAGTTGCTTGATTATGATTCACCTCTGGATCCTCTTGATAAGGTATTATATAAAGTAGAGTTTGGAGGGATATGTTGTGTATCTTTATATGTGTATGCTTCTAGACTGCTGTATTCTGAGCACCTCTGCAAAAACAGTGATAATGTGTGAGTGTGGTGAAAGTGTTGAATGATGATGAAAGTATTTTCTTTTTGGGGATTTTCTTTCTTTTTTGGGTCACCCTGCCTCGGTGGGAGACGGCCGACTTGTTGAAAAAAAAAAATAAATAAATAGCTTAATTTTGCTTTTTAATAGTAGCCCTTGACAAAAGTCACAGTAGAATTTTTACCTGGCAACCAAATTATAACAAAGTAATTTTGTTTCTTTCTGCAGTTTACAAAATGTAGTTTATATGTAATATTATTAAAAAGATAAACTAAGTCAACACTATGACCCACCTACAGTGTTATATATATATATATCCAAGTGCTAAGTTTTTGACTTCAAAGGCAAAAAAATTGCAATAGTTCGTAAATATACCTATGTTCTGAGTGGCTGTTACAGTTTCCATAGTCTCATTTATAATGCATTGCCGAAGAAAGCATTTTCATGATCACTCATTTCTGTGTTTTTCTAGAAGTACATAAACATCACAATTAAACATTTCTTAATGTTAAATGTAATTAAGTAAAAGGGGAATATAAATATATAGGGAAGTCTGCACCTCTCCCCGTACAAGGGAGTGGCAGGTGGGGAACACGTCAGACAATTAATCTTCTGGAGTTTCTGTCTTTGTGTGGATTATTACTGAACATTGACAAGTGTTCAATACACCAGGCCATGGTGTCCCATGGCCTGGTGGCTAAAGCTATTGCTTCACACAGTGAGGGTCTGGGTTTGATTCCTGGCGAGGGTAGAAACATTGGGCATGTTTCTTTACACCGGCTGTCTATATTCCATCAGTGAAATGGGCACCTGGGTGCTAGTGAATTGGTGTGGGTCACATCCTGGGACAGAACTGACCTAATTTGCCCAGAATGCTCCTCATAACAAGCGGCTTTCTATATAGTAGTATGTCACTGATGTCAGCTATGGTCTGTATACCTTGTACATACATGTACTTGTAGAAATTATTATTATTATTATTATTATTATTATTATTATTGATTAGTATACTATGGATGCTTATTATGTAAGCATAGTTAACATACATAAATTTCATGATCTTTTATGTTTTTTATATTTGATGTTACTAGACAAAAACGACTCCCTTGCAACTGGCAGCAAGGGAAGGTCACGTTGCAGTGACCCGACTACTATTGGAGCGAGGTGCATCACTTGCTGCCTGTGACACTTCTGGGAGGAATGCGTTAGAACTTGCTATTGCTGCTGGCAAAAGGTGACAGTATATTAGCGTATTTTAAGGATTCTTCTATTACAGGTGATCCTCAGCTTACGATGATTTGACTTAAGATATTTTGATCATACAGTAATGCAAAAGCAGTTACTTTGCGGATGAATCCTTAAGATAATTACCCAGCATGAAGGCGGCAAATCCATATTATTATTATTATAATCAAAGGGGAAGCGCTAAACCCGTAGGATTATACAGCGCCCGGGGGGGGGGGGATGTGGACGGCATTCAGGCTTAATTCGGGGAACCGGAGCACAGTTCCAATTCCCTAAATCAAAAGCCCCTCACCAACATCAAGGAACCTTCCATGAAGGCGGCAAATCCATAACTTGTATTCATTTATTTATTTTTCTATACTGGTATTTAGTTACAGTAATTATTTATTTTCTTATTCTTCAGAGACAGTAGCTATTAATTTACTTGCTTATTTACCATGTGTTCATATTCACCGTATGACATTTTAGACGTATGATGGGTTTGTTGGAACGTAACCCCACTGTAGCACAAGGAGCATCTGTGCATGTATATATATTATATTTAAAATTAATTTTATTTTTTTATATTGATATTTCTAATATTTTATAGAGCACATTCATATGTTCATGAAGAATTATATTTTGGTTCATATATACTGCTGTAATTTAGGTAAGTGGTAACCCAATAAATCTCTTGATTTGAATGAACATTGATATTTCCTTTTGTAGAATACAAGTATTTAATAATTTGATTGCATTCTGTTTTAGGGATGTCTGCATGGCAATTGTGAGGTCAGCTGAGTGGGAGGCAGGTCTCAGGAATGTAAGGATGGATGACAGGGGTCGGCGCATCACTCCTTTCAGGATGCTTATCCAGAAATTCCCAGGTGTTGCAGAAGTAGTACTTGATAGGTAGGCATCTAATCTATTTTTGTTGTGAAATGCAAAATTTAGATTCATAATATAAGCCATCTTCTCCATGGAGAAGTGGAGAAAAATCCTTCCTCCATTAGTCATGTGTGTGATAAGAGGCAACTAAAATGCCGGGAGCAAGGTGCTAGTAACCCTTTCTCCTGTATAAATTACTAAATGTAAAAAGAAGAAAACCACGTGTTTCTTTTTTTCCCTGGGGTCACCATGCCTCGGTGGGAGATGGCCATTTTGTTAAAAAATAAATAAAATAAATATGACAAACGATTAGATGAGCAAGACACATTGCAACAATTGAGTATCTTTATTGCAAAATGTTTCAGTAGTTGAGATACCCAACTGTTGCACGTGTGTCTCATTCATCTAACTATTGGTTAATATTGTATACCATTAATATAATGATAAGATTTCCTTTTACTTTTCAATGTTTTTGAATATAAATTCTCTCCAGGTGCACTTCAACCAATGGCATGGACTCAGACGACAGGAGATTTGAAGCATTGGTTAACTTTGAGCTCGTGGATGATACATACACCTTTCAGAATGGCAGCGACACTGACTCCCTTGCTTCAGTGTCAACCCTTGAACCGCCATTTGATGAGGATGGGCAGCTGCTGGAACATGCCGAGCCATATACCAATGATGCCAGGGAGCTTAAAAACAACCATCCATTAATGCTCATGGTGAAGTATAGAAGGTTAAATCTCTTGGCTCATCCAGTCTCCATCTCACTCGTTAAACACAAGTGGATGAATTATGGAAGGTAAATTGTCTCTATTACTAAATTTAAAAAAAAATCTTTTGTTTTTCTTTGTAGGTCACCCATGTTAGATAGGAGTGGAGACAAATGTTTTTTGGGACTTGAGTTGCGTACTTATGGTGTCCTGTATTCAGTGTGTTTTTTATTTTAACACACTGCTTGTCTCCCACCGAGGCAGGGTGAACTAAAAAAGAAACACTTTCACCATTCACACCATCACTGTCTTGCCAGAGGCAGAGACACACCACCACTGTCTTGCCAGAGGCAGAGACACACCACCACTGTCTTGCCAGAGGCAGAGGACACACCACCACTGTCTTGCCAGAGGCAGAGACACACCACCACTGTCTTGCCAGAGGCAGAGACACACCACCACTGTCTTGCCAGAGGCAGAGACACACCACCATTGTCTTGCCAGAGGCAGAGACACACCACCACTGTCTTGCCAGAGGCAGACACACACCACCACTGTCTTGCCAGAGGCAGACACACACCACCACTGTCTTGCCAGAGGCAGAGACACACCACCACTGTCTTGCCGGAGGCAGAGACACACCACCACTGTCTTGCCAGAGGCAAGACAGTGGTGGTGTGTAAATAACACTATTTTCTGCCACTTCTTACAAAAAAAATTCTAATCTGGAAATTCTAATCAGGACTTGAGTCCTGGAGATGGGAAGTACAGTGCCTGCACTCTGAAGGAGGGGTGTTAATGTTGCAGTTTAAAAACTGTAGTGTAAAGCACCCTTCTGGCAAGACAGTGATGGAGTGAATGATGGTGAAAGTTTTTCTTTTTCGGGCCACCCTGCCTTGGTGGGAATCGGCCAGTGTGATAATAATAAAAATACTGTAATATTTTTCAAAGTGGCCTCCCTACAGGTATTCTGGGTTACCAAAATATCATTGTACCATTTAAAACTTTTACGGGTTTGTATACTATCTGACTCGTTTAACAAAACTTTTACTTTCACAGGTTTGTATACTATTTGACTCTCTCATTCTACATGGTCTTCCTGACATTCCTCACTGGTTACATCCTTACAGCAAGGTAAGTCAACTTTAATTAATATTAACCCTTAAACTGTCCAAACATAGATCTACGTTTATGTGCGTAGCGCTCCGACCTTGATTTTCTCCGTTTGAAGTCATGTAAAAAAAATGTAGATCTAAGTTTGGAGTGCTAAGCGAGCGAATGTACCTGGAGTTTACCTGGAGGGAGTTCTGGGGGTCAACACCCCCGCGGCCCGGTCTGTGACCAGGCCTCACGGTGGATCAGCGTCTGATCAACCAGATCTATGTTTGGACAGTTTAATGGTTAATAGTTATATAATTTTATAGTTTGATTTTTGCTTTATTTTGCTAGGCTTTTAATTTTGACACCAGTCATTTCCCCACCAAGGTAGCATTACCAGAACAGAATATACATGAACTATCAGTCATTCAGTGGCATTCTTGCCAGAAGTGCACAGACATTGCAATTCAAATGACCATCTGAACTGCAACATCCTCATTCCTCTTCTAGAGTGCAGGCACTGGATTTGCCACCTCCAGGACTCAAGTTTGGTTAACCAATTTCCAAGAGTTCCTCCATAAATGCCACACAGCTCACACTCCAGAGGCACGTCTTGCAATGAGAACTACTTGTTTCCACTCACTCCAATCTAACATGCTCACACAACCCTGCTGGATGCTCAAGCCTTTGACACTCAAAACCTCTTTTACCCCCCTCTCTCCAACCCTTCATGGCACAGTTTCTACCTCTTCTTCCTTCTACTCCAGATTTATACACCATTTTGGTCATCCTATTATGGCCCATCCTCTCTAAATACCCAGACCATCTCAGTGACTCCTCAGCCCATGAATTATAACATTTATTTAAAATATTCAATCTTTTAACATTGTTTTCAACACATCAGCCATTTCCCACGAATGCAGGGTGACCCAAAAAAGAAGAAACACTTTCATCATCATTCATTCCATCACTGTCTTGCCTGAGGCGTGCTGATACTACACTTCAATAAAAAGAAATTTCCATGTGCAATATTAGTGAACTGAATGTTTTGTGGATCAACAAAACGTATAGTAATCTTGATATATTTTATTCTCACTTGTCAGGAACTGGTCGTGGGTTAAAATGGAAATGAACAACATTGAAGGTTATACACGTATGGTTCAAGAAGCCAAGGAGAAACATTCTTGTGAGGTAAAGTTTACACTTTATTTATGAATACAAGGCGATAAAATATGTATTTTTTTCAATGAACTGGTCGTATCCCAGCAAGATAGGGTGACCTAAAAAGAAAAAAGTTTTTCTTTTTAAATTTAGTAGTAATGTATATGGGAGAAGGGGTTACTAGCCTCTTGCTCCCGGCATTTTAGTCTCCTCTTATGACACGCATGGCTTAATGAGGAAGAATTCTGTTCCGCTTCCCCACATAACGAGAACAGTAATATGGAAATATGCAAATAGTTCAATATAATTTTATGCCAGAAGACTATTGGATCCATAGGTACTATATTCTACAACAAACATTTCAAATAACTAATTTGAAACCTATTTTACAATGCATTTTTAGTACTGCTTACTTAATTTTCCTAGTCAGTAACCATTTTGTTCGGTTATTTGAATACACAATACACAAATAATCTGGGGGTTATTTGTGTATTGTTCCAGTCACGGAACTGCGACTTTATATTCTTCAAGACATTACAGAATAATAATTTTGTCATAATAGGATTTATATTGTCTACAAGTTTAATGGTAAGTAACACAAATCATTTGTGATGAATTACGAAATGCCCAGCCAGTGATATGGGAGACGGCCGGTATGTTAAAAAGTAAATTCTTCTCTACAGTTTTGCATTTTAAATATTAATGGCTGTTTCAATACAATCAGTGAATCCCATTGCATAATTCCACTATGACCACTAATGGCACTTCTTGGATATTAGTTTTCAATACTGATTTACTTTTTCAACACCGGCTGTCTCCCACTTAGGTATACCTGAAGTATACCTGGAGGGGGTTTCGGGGATCAACGCCCCTGCGGCTCGGTCTGAGACCAGGCCTCATGGCGGATCAGGTAGGGTGACCATTTACTCCATTTACCTTCTTATGTATTACAGTGGACCCCCGGTTAACGATATTTTTTCACTCCAGGAAGTATGTTCAGGTGCCAGTACTGACCGAATTTGTTCCCATAAGGAATATTGTGAAGTAGATTAGTCCATTTCAGACCCCCAAACATACACGTACAAACGCACTTACATAAATACACTTACATAATTGGTCGCATTCGGAGGTGATCGTTATGCGGGGGTCCACAGTATTTCATAAACATTTCGAGTACTAATTGACCATTTGTTTTTCTATTTACACAGGCTATAAAAGACAAGGTGAACTTGGCAGACAGCATATTTGTAATAGCCGGAAAGTGGGTGATCATTGTCATGGCAAGTTTGAACATAATGCGGGAGATGTTCCAATTTTACCAGGTATGTGAATATATTTTTCTGCTCACACTAGAGATATAACACCTGACTCACGAAATCGTAATGACACGATTGCAAACAAACCATACCTCCCATGGTATGGTTTGGTATAACACCTGATTTTGTGAATTATATAATCAGTGTGAAGCAACTCTCCCAAATATTATATAACCTCTAGTCTATTAAACATCTGCCAATCCATTAAATATTACTGTTTGACCCACTAATTGTAATATTGTTTCTATTATGTACAACTTCAAGATTATTATTATAAACCTCCACCTTAACTAACTCGCATTAGTATCAAGATCATTAAAAACTTAACCATTCTTGTTATTATGTGCTAGGATTAGTCTGCCCGAAATGCCCTGGCAGGATAGTGACTTTGTACTTAACAAACCCAAAAAACCTGTAATTGTTTTGCATGATGGTAGGATTGCTGGTTTCTTTTTCTGTCTCATAAACACGCTAAGATAACAGGGATATCTTGCTACTCCTACTAACACTTTGGTCACAACTTCACAGACCGAGGGACCACCCCCCGAAGGGAGAGGGAGAAAGAGCAGGAGGGAAGGGAATGGGAGACCCCCACCCACATGCATATATATATATACATACATCTAGGTTTTTCTCCTTTTTCTAAATAGCTCTTGTTCTTTTTTATTTCTTCTATTGTCCATGGGGAAGTCGAAAAGAATCTTTCCTCCGTAAGCCATGCGTTCCGTATGAGAGGCGATCCTAAAATGCGGGAGCAATGGGCTCATAACCCCTTCCCTGTATACAATTACTAAAAAAAGAAGAAGAAAAACTTTATAAACAGGTTTCTTAAATGTGCGTGGATGTAGTGCGGATGACAAAGAAACAAATGATGCTGATGTTATGATGAAAAGAAGTGGATGTCTGGCCCTAGCGAAACAAAGCTGAAGGGGGTAGGTGATTTTCAGTGGGGGGAAATAAATGGGATTAAATCTGGAGTGATCTGAGAGAGTTAGAGCAAAGGAAGGGGTAGCAGTAATTTAAATGATCAGATTATGGAAGGAAAAAGAGAAGTATGATGGTGCAAATTCAAGAATTATGTGGATAAAGTAAAGGTGGATGCGAGAAGTGGGTCATAATAAGCGTGTAGGCACCCTGGAGAAGATAGGAATGCAAGGAGAGAGAAGATTTGGAGATGTTTAGTGAATGTTATAGGACCTTTGAACTAAAAAAATTAAGTGAGAGAGTAAGGTGTGGTAGGGGACTTGAATGCAAAAGTAGGAGAAAACTTTTAAGAGGGTGTGGGTAGGTAAGTTTTGGGTGCCAGGTGTAAATTGATCATAATGGGAGCCTTTGATTGAACTTGTATAGAAAGGGGTTTAGTATAGGTAATACATATTTTAAGAAAGAGAGGATAAATAAGTAATTTAAAAACCAAACGATATGAAGTAGGGCAAATGACAGTAGTTTGTTTGATATGTATTGGAGAATAAAAGACTGTTGAGTAGACTTCAGGAGTGTACATTGTTTATAGAGGGGCCACAGATATATCAGATCACTTTCTAGTTGTAGCTACACTGAGAGTAAATGGTAGATCTGATACAAGGAGAATAGAAGCATCAGGGAAGAGAGCAGGTGAAGGTTTATAAACTAACAAGAGAAGGCTTAGGGTAAGATATAAACAGCTATTTGAGGATAGAACTGGGCTAATGAGAGCATAGGCAATGGGGTCGAAGAGTATGGGGTAGGTTTAAAATTGTAGTGTTAAGAGTGTTCAGCAGAAGTTTAGTGGTTACAGAAAGTGGTGACAGGAGGGATAGGAGCGATTGGTGGAATGATGATTGTTAAAGAGAGTAGTAAAGGGAGAAAAAGTTACATATGAGAAGTTTTTTACAAGTAGAAGTGATCCAATGAGGACAAGAGATATGTAGAAAAGAGAGAGGTTAAAGAGAGGTGGAAGCAATGTAAAAAGAGAGCAAATGAGAGAGTGGGTGGTGATGTTATCACAAATTTTGCTTTGAAAAGAAGAAAATGTTTTGGAGTGAGATTAACAAGTTAAGAAAGCCTAGAAGAACAAATGGATTTGTCAGTTAAAAATATGAGAGGAGAGTTATTAAATGGAGAGTTAGAGGTATTCGGAAGATGGGAAGGAATTTTGAGGATTGTTTAAATGTTGATGAAGATAGGGAAGCTGTGATTTCGTGTATAGGCAAGGAGGAATAACATCTTGTTGGCTGAGGAAGAGCCAGTTGTGAGGTGGGGGAAGTTCGTGAGGCAGTATAAAATGAAAGGGGGTAAAGGCACTCGGATTGATGGGATAAAAGATAGAAATGTTAAAAGCAGGTGGGGATATAGTTTTGGAGTGGTTGGTGCAATGTTTTTATAAATGTATGGAAGAGGGTAAGGTACCTAGGGATTGGTAGAGAGCATGCAAGTTCCTTTGCGTATAAGCAAGTGGATAAAAGAGAGTGCAAAAAATTATAGGGGATAAGTTGTTAGTGTACCTGGTAAAGTGTATGGTAGAGTTATAATTGAAAGAATTAAGAGTAATACGGAGAATAGGATAGCAGATAACAAGGAGGCTTTAGGAAAGGTAGGGGGTGGTGGACCAGGTGTTTCAGTGAAACACATATAGTGAACATAATTTAGACAAAGGCTAAAGAGGTTCTTTGTTGGCATATATGGATTTGAAAAGGCGTATGACAGGTGGATAGGGGGGCAATGCTGGCAGATGTTGCAAATGTAGGTGTAGGAGGTAGGTTACTGAAAGCAGTGAAGAGTTTTTTACGAAGGATAGTGAGGCTCAAGTTAGAGGTATGTAGGAAAGAGGGAAATTTTTTCACCAGTAAAAGTAGGCCCTTAGACAAGGTATGTGGTAGATGTCACCGTGGTTGTTTAATAATTTATAGATGGGGTTGTAAGAGAAGTAAAATGCGAGGGTCTTGGCAAGAGGCGTGGAGTTAAAAGAAAAGAATCACACACAAAGTGTGAGTTGTCACAGCTGCTCTTTCTGATGACACTGTTGCTCTTGGTAATCTGAAGAAAGTTGCAGAGATTGGTGGATGAATTTTGTACAGGTGTGCAAAAAAGAAAAATTAAAGTGAATACAGGAAAGAGTAAGGTTATGAGGATACAAAAAGATTAGGTGACATGAAAGATTGAATATCAGAAATTGGAGGGAGAGAGTATGGAGGAGTGTGAACGTATTCAGATATTTGGGAGTGGAACGTGTCAGCGGATGGGGTCTATGAAAGATGAGGTGAATCATAGAATTGATGAGGGAAAAAGGAGTGATGGTGCACTTAGGATCCTGTGAACAAAGAACATTGTCCTTGGAGGCAAAGAGGGGAAAGTATGAGAGTAAGTTTACCAACGCTCTTATATGGGTGTGGAAGCGTGGGTGGATGAATGTTTGCAGCGAGGAGAAGGCTGGAGGCAGTGGAGATGTCATGTCTGAGTGCAATGTGTGGTTGAATATAATGCATGAGAATTCGTAAGTTTGGAAGTTATGGAAGAGAGGTGCGGGATTACCAAAACTGTTGTCCAGAGGGCTGAGGAAGGGTTGGTTGAGGGTGGTTCGGAACGATTGTAGAGAGAATGGAGCGAAACCAGAATACTCCAAGAGTTGTATCAGTCCTGTAGTGGAAGGAAGGCCGGGTGGGGTTCGGCCTAGGAAGGGTGAGGAGGGGTAATGGAGGTTTTGTGTGCTAGGGGCTGGACTTCAGCAGGCTGCTTGAGCGTGTTGGATAGGAGTGAATGGAGAGCAAATGGTTTAATACTTGACGAGCTGTTTTTGGAGTGTGAGCAAAGTAACATTTTATGATGGGATTCAGGAAACCGGCATGCCGGACTTGAGTCCTGGAGATGGGAAGTACAGTGCCTGCACTCTGAAGGAGGGGTGTTAATGTTGCAGTTTAAAAACTGTAGTGTAAAGCACCCTTCTGGCAAGACAGTGATGGAGTGAATGATGGTGAAAGTTTTTCTTTTTCGGGCCACCCTGCCTTGGTGGGAATCGGCCGGTGTGATAATAAAAAAAAAATAATAAAACCCAAATTGTAATTACACATTCTTTATAAATGAGGCCTTTAAGTTACTCTGATCAAGTCAAGATATACTGTGGTAAGACATAGCCAATTTCATGTATTAAAAGGTTTAAAGGCACTTTTATAGGGTATAATTTACTAGACTGATCTTAGCACTTAGATTTTCAGTGGCTGATGAATGTTATAATTTAGTGTAGATACGTACTAGTATTGCCATGTAAAATGAAAAATGGGAAAAACAAATACAGGCCACTTGAGGAATATAGATCATGATCAAATATTCAAAATTATAGGCAGAGAGAGAGAGATTAGATTTTTTTTTAGATTTTGCCACAGAAGTGGCTAGTTTATTGTGCATCCCATATCCATCCTGTGGACGGTAGTGCGAGAGCATATGGATACACAAAAGGCCCAGGAACTAGGCCCCAAAGGGTTAACAGAAATACATATGGATTTATATCTACATACTATAGTTCACTTAAATGCTGTTACAAGCAAATTTAGGAATTAGCTTAGTAAATATCTGGAATCATTATTTTCATTAATAAGAATATCTCAATCACGTCACATACAGTTTTATTATACTGTCTGTCTCGTCATTCCTCAATAAGTGGACAATTAAGCACATAGTTGTTCAAGAGAGTGACCATGCGGCCTGTCACATAATTTACATTTAGTTTGATCATCATCTGTGTGTCCTCCCAAATTTGCCAGAAGTACTTGCAACCAAGCCTAAGCCTTGGCCACTACGACATAGTCAGTACTTGTAACTAAGACTTCTCAGCCTGGCACTACATCATCGAGTCAGTCTGTTCACATTGCAAGTTGCCTCCATAAACATACTTACTACGTTCATGTTATCATAGTGGGTTAAGATCTGCGCTCCAGGCTTCTAACTGCTTTCCTATAACAATCATTTTCATTCATTACTTTATCTCTCTAGGGACTTATCCTAAACAGCTAGACACAGTTTATAGCCAAAGT